CTGCAGCGCTGGTTTGGACCAACGCCACGCTTTGTTTGCTCGCTACGACGATAAGCCCAAGAGCAAAGCGTAACGGTGCTGGACTCATATGAACGCTAACGGTCGACGGTGAGAATGTCGGCGCTCGTAAAGTATGTCTGCATATGTGCCGTGTTCGTCCAAATTAAACCGCGTCGTCCGATGGAGCGCGCCTTTGGCATCAGGTTAGCAAACTGATGAGCAAAGTGACCCCGATACGCGCGTGTTTGATGCAAGTTGGGCTGTCTGGCACACCTTATTGGGAAGTTATGTCTGACGCGTCACGTGTAAATCATTGCTGTAGGTTGAATGCAGGAAATCAACGCATACCTGACGCATTCAGTTCGCGTGCAAATCAGGCCGGGTCTCGAACCATGGGTGAGCTCAGGTGCGAAGATCGGAAGGATAAATAGCCGGATGGCCAAGGTTCTAATGATTTCGTGTATGGTGCAAATCAAGCCGAACTTTGTCGCGCAGCGTGTTCCCCTCTGTGGAAGATAACTTCAACAGATCGGGTGACTTGTGTGAACGTGGAATGATAACTGAGCATTTTCAACGAGGCGCGATGCTCGGGAAGCATCTATATGAGATGATATTGTCAGCAAACATTGATCATAGGGGATGATCGGATGCACTTAAAGCATTAAAAAGACGAAAAGGAAAAAACAATTTAATTTTAAATTGTTGCAATTGCAACTGCAATTTAAACGACGTATATGTGGGTGACTTAACTGTCGAAATTAATAGCGACGGCCCACGATCGTGAAATATGTTGATATCCACTTTAGCTCGTTTGATAGATCAAGCGTAACTCTGATATTGGATTTTTATTTGCTTCAAATGACGGCTGAAGCTCGGTTGTGGTGCGCTGTATTTGTCTGGGTTTATTTCGTTCCGTGCGAGGGGGAGGCAGGGAGGGCGCAGGCATCAATGAGATTAGATTCTGCTCCTCATGATTTTTGTCCCGATTTTGAAGCGATTGTGATGGCTCCTTCAGAGGGGAGGCTTCGACCAAACAGCGACGCTGGAGGCGAGACTGGTGAGGATATCTAAACCCGTGGCGACGGCTCCGAGCGGTCGGGGTGCAAACAGGCGACCGATCGTGGTTCTAGGGGACCGGCACAGCAGCGTTCCCACCTTCACGGCGGCGGCACTGCCGGCGGAAGTGGCACACGTCGGCTTCCACATGCAGCCAAAAGGAGCGGAGACCGCTCCAACCAGGAGCTTCTCCGGCACAAAATGGTCACCTTTGTAGACTGCCGTCATGCAGCGATGCAGGGACGGAGAACGTTGGCGACGTGGCATACCAGCTTGGAGCTCATCATTCGATTCAAGACGGACGCGACACGTGCGGAACTTCACGCCATTGAGTGGGCGGAGGGGCAATCTTGGCGAAGCCACGGCGCGTCGCGTTGCAGCTGTCGCGCTACGGCTGCCGCCACAAACAAGGCTGTGCCGAGACAAGTGCCCCGTCTGTTGAGATCTGGCTGGCGCAGCGCGCTGCGCCGCGCCAACGAAGCTGTGCGACCATGGAGGGCGCTGCCGGCGGCGCCGAACGCGTGGGTCTTCGGCTCGGCTTGTGTCGCAGCGTCGAAGCGTGCGCCGGCCTGTGTCGCAGCGCCGAACGTCTTGGACGTCTGCGTCGGCCTGTGTCGCAGCGTCGGAGTGTGCGCCGGTCTTCGTCGCCGCGTAGGACATCTCGTTCGTCTCGGACGTCTGCGCCGGCCTGTGTCGCTGCGTCGGACGTCTGCGCCGGCCTGTGTCGCAGCGTCGGGCGTCTGCGCCAGTCTGTGTCGCAGCGTCGGACATCTGCGCCAGCCTGTGTCGCAGCGTCAGACGTCTCGGACGTCTGCGCCGGCCTGTGTCGCAGCGTCGGGCATCCGCGCCGTCTCGCGGCTCGGCGCGTCGGCTGCGCCCGGGGCCGATCCGTGCTGCTGCTTAAACTGGCGATAACAAATAGGTGGCGGTTTATCCCGCCAAAGTCATGGGAAGCCAAACGGCGCCCGGCCCCGAGCTTGACGTATCACATTCAAACATAAGTTTACCCTCACCCTCGTCGAACGAAACCGGGATGCGCACCCGGGGCTTCTGTAGGTGTGGCGCCGGACTCGCGCTGGATGACGCATGCTCCAAAAATGGGACCTTGCACAATAGGCATTCGACAACTGCATTGTCAGACCAGCGTCGTGCATGTGTTACAGGACAGCGTCCAGATTCCCACATGTATCCGTGAAGTTGGTGCCGCGGCCTATGGCGCCGTCGAACTGGCATAGGCATTTAGCGAGAATGAGGTCGCCTGAGACTAATTGAGCAGTCGGGAGCAGGCGGCACGCAAAACGCCTTCGAGTCATCATAGTTTCACCGGCAATCCCCAGGCCGATGTGAACCACCGTATCGTAGTGGTCCAGCGCGCTTTTGGAAAGACCGGCAAGGGCTTGGAACTGACACGGACATGACCCGTGGAGGGGTCGACTTATCTGCGCTATCGGCTTGGGTGTTCTCCCGGGGCTTCGGGGCGTCCCCGCCGTCGGCACCTCGCGGCAGCATCGGACGGCTCTGCGGTGTCATCGACTTGTATATGGCCAAGGTTTTGCAAAGGTATTGATGAAAGATTTCTCACGGCACATGGGGCTTCGCCATGTTCAGCGTGGGAAAACGCGGTTTAAGCGCAGTTTGCACATGTGAATTTTGTGGTGATTTGCCTCTTCGGCGGCGGTCGATCAAGTCTGGGGGATGCAAGGTCTTGGCTACTTAGAAATGCCATGAGACTTAATAACTGCTCATTGCAAATGGAATACTGCCCCGGCAGAGCGAGATCGGCCCGTTCGCAACCTTTGTTGCAGGTTGGCATGTCGTGTAAAGAAGCGCATTGACGATTGCCAGCTAGTGCTCTGCGACCAATGCTAATGCTAGAACCTGAGCCAGGGACATGGCTGCATTGTGTACCCGCTGGGTGACCAAACAGTCAGCTGATCCTCGAAGAGAATGGGCCCGCCACGTGCTGGAACGCCTCGAGCCGACAGCCCGACCCGGGCACAGAGGCGTCGCGTACACCGTGTTGAGCACCCGAGGCGGTGGTTGGCGGGCGCGCGAGAACCGCCCTCCGCAGCACTTGCGAGGAGATCTCGACGCGCCCTAAACCGCGGCGACAGCGACAGCAGCCGCAACTGCCGCGGCATCAGACGAGGTGTGGGTGACGGGAGCCGCTCCCGCTGCTGGTGTCACGTGACGCCGGCTGCTGGTGTCACGGGGCCGCGCGCAGAAGAAGCGGAAGCTAAGGCTGCGGATGATGGCGTCTTCTGCTTCTTTTGCACGGCGTCCAGATGACCGGGGAGCGGGCGAGCGTGTCGCCCTCGTCCGCGTGGCGCGTCCCGCTCGTGGGATTGGCTTGATGAACAGCCGCAGCGGCTGCCTTCTCCGGCAAGCGGTGTTGCTACTACACGATGATGACAACACTGTAGATGCCACGATCTCAACGTGTGCGAGAGCCATGCAGCGTATATTGAACAACTGTGGTTCAATGTGAGTTAAGCTATATACGAGGCCATGTTTTTGTTCCCTACTTTTGTCAAGCCAATCGCCGTTTCCCATAGGAAATTGGATCAGCGCTCCTGGAGACATCGGCGGAGGGTGTAATTTGACCTCGGGTGCGACACCGTACTACGCGACATGGTGCGCGGAACATTGGCGCTTGAAATTGGTGCGTGCCGTGTTTCACCTGCTTTGTCTGCCTGCGGCTCCACCCATGGTTAAAAGTATGATGTTTATTCGTCTCGTTCTGTTCGGTTAGTGCATGCTCTAATTGTGAGCTATTTGTTATGCACACATTCCCGGACAGGCCGTGAATGTGGGTCGGATTTCGTGTCCGTTGGGTTGGGATGGTGAGTGAACTGCGGCGGTTGTAGCTCCGCGCTGATCTCGGGGACCGTATTGTTGCCGGTCGCTCTCGACCCCTGCGTATCGCCGTCTGGCCCTCTGACAGTCTGTCGGTCACCTCGCTCCGTCTGTGGGCGCTGTATGACCGGTCACCTCGCTCCGTCTGTGGGCGCTGTATGACCGGTCACCTCGCTCCGTCTGTGGGCGCTGTATGGCCGGTCGCCTCGCTCCGTCTGTGGGCGCTGTGTGACCGGTCACCTCGCTCCGTCTGTGGGCGCTGTATGACCGGTCACCTCGCTCCGTCTGTGGGCGCTGTATGACCGGTCACCTCGCTACGTCTGTGGGCGATGTATGACCGGTCACCTCGCTCCGTCTGTGGGCGCTGTATGACCGGTCACCTCGCTCCGTCTGTGGGCGCTGTGTGATCGGTCACCTCGCTCCGTCTGTGGGCGCTGTGTGATCGGTCACCTCGCTCCGTCTGTGGGCGCTGTGTGATCGGTCACCTCGCTCCGTCTGTGAGCGCTGTATGACCGGTCACCTCGCTCCGTCTGTGGGCGCTGTGTGACCGGTCACCTCGCTCCGTCTGTGGGCGCTGTATGACCGGTTACCTCGCTCCGTCTGTGGGCGATGTATGACCGGTCACCTCGCTCCGTCTGTGGGCGCTGTATGGCCGGTCGCCTCGCTCCGTCTGTGGGCGCTGTGTGATCGGTCATCTCGCTCTGTCTGTGGGCGCTGTATGACCTGCCACCTCGCTCCGTCTGTGGGCGCTGTATGACCTGTCACCTCGCTCCGTCTGTGGGCGCTGTATGACCGGTCACCTCGCTCCGTCCGTGGGCGCGGTATGACCGGTCACCTGGCTCCGTCTGTGGGCGCGGTGTGACCGCGCAGTCGAAGCGCCTTGAAGCCCCAGTTGCTGCTACCGCTCGCTCTCGCCCGGAGTCGGTACCATCCCGGCGCGAGCGGTGGATCGGGAGCCACGCCGCCCTTCAGGCGCGGGCACGCCGCGTGATGTCGGGCGATGGTAGCCGACCTTCTCGTTGCCAGCTGCCCGTCCGTTGTCGTCGTGTCTGGTGCGCTGGGGTGACGCGGCGCCTCCCCTGCGGCAGATACTTCTGGTTCAAGAACGGCAAGCCGTTCCAGTGGGCGGTGTACGACACTCGCATCTCCCAGCAGCCGGACCGTGGCACCCTGGTCATCACGTCACCGAAGGCGGAGGATATTGGTCAGTGCTGCTCGCACCGCCGGCCAACCGGCGGGCGCGTTTTGTGCGCGTGCGTGCTTGCGTGCGGGGTGGGGGGGGGGGCCGTGTGTCCACAGTTTGAGGTCGAATGTGTGCGTGTGCCGACATGGCCATGGGCGTTGTGAGTACTTCAATCGAGGGCCCAGTATGCTGGGGATTGCTGATGAAAGGTGTGTGGATCGGTAGTGTGAATCGCTTGACAAAAATGTGGCCCTGCGGCACTGCACCAGTTGACATACCAATTCTCGCTCCGCGCTAGCCGACCGGACGCGTGGAGCTGCGGTAGTCTAGTCACCAGCGACAACGCTGTGGCCTGCGAGGCACATCGGTGATCGTCGGCCAGGTTTGAGCGTGCTGAAGCTGGGGTGCAGACCGCGCGCCGGGCGCTCGCCTCGGCCGGCGGCGCGCGGAGGCGAGAGCGGGCGCCGCCGCCTCCCCGCTGACCCGGCCGCGCCGCCCCCGGCAGGCTCGTACCAATGTCAGGCGACCAACACACACGGCACGGCCACCTCCAACTCGGTGTTCGTGCGCAAGTCCGACCTGAACTCGTTCAAGGACCAGCCGCCCATCACCATGACGGCCAACGAGGGCGAGCCGCTGGAGCTCAAGTGCAACCCGCCGGAGGGCTACCCCAACCCCACCGTCCACTGGATGATACAGGTCAGGCGCCGCCGCCGCCGCTCGGCGAGGGCCGTGACGCCTGCAGGGCCGGACGTGAACGCCGTTATGAGATGTTTGCCCGGTACGGAACATCGGAATGAGTGGGGAGGCTGGGTAGCGGCGCCGCGCGCGTGGTCCGTCGTCGCGCCGTGGCGCCGGTTGTTGCCCGACCCTGCTGCACGACTCCTGCTGCGGCTGCTCGGTGGTGTTGGTTGAGATGGAATGCCGGGCGGGACGCGACCAGTGTCATGACACGATGTCATGACACGTCATGACACGACCCTGTGTCATAACACGACCCCTGTGTCACGATGCGACCTTGTGGCATGAACACTGGCTGTGATTGTGACCAGCAGTGAGCGTGCTGCGGCTGGCCCGCTATGTAGCAGGACCGCCCGTGCTGTGATGAGTGTTTACGATGCATTTTGTCATGGCGCTGCGTGCGGACGTTGTCAGTGCTGTGAGAACTGGTGGTAATGTGGCGCTCTGCAGAAGGACGCTGGTCTTAACTATGACGCCCGTGTGTTGACGTTTAATTCCATCAGTGGTGTTTTGGGCTGGGTCGACTACGAAGGTCACTGTGCCCCCCTCCCCCCCCCCCCGTGGCCTCTTCTGTGACACCCGGTGGTCTGTTGGAGGACCGTGTCGTGGGCACAGGTCCATGGGGTACCGGTCCTCGGGGTACGGTTAGGGGTGTGTTTGTGTCTTGGGTCCGTGGCATGATTTGGAAGGCAGGGCTATTAGATCAAAGTTGTTTCCAGGCAGAGCTGTGTCTCACACTCGGCATGGGCGGCGTGTGACGGCGCTGGGAACCGCTGGCCGCGCTGGCCATGACCCCGGACCGTGACCCGGACCCTGACCCCGACCACAACCCCGACCGTGATCCTGACCCCGACCGTGACCCCGACCGTGACCCTGACCCCGACCCTGGCCCGACCTCGACCCTGACCCCGACCGTGACCCTGACCCGACCTCGACCTCGACCCTGACCCCGACCGTGACCCTGACTCCGACCCTGGCCCCGACCCTGACCCTGTGTCACCGTCCGCCGGCAGGGCGACGGTGGCTCCCTCTCCAGCATCAACTCAACCCGCCAGACGGTCGGCCCCTTCGGTAACCTCTACTTCAGCAACGTCACCCTGGAAGACGCCAGCAACGGCTTTGTGTACGCCTGCTCGGCCACCTCCCCTTTCCGGTAAGGGTGGACGGCCAACTCTACTGCCAGTGCACGTCGGTGTATGTCGGTGCTTGTGAGACAACCCGTACTTACCCCATGTTGTGCTGAACAGCCCGTAACTAGAGTATTTGTGCGGTCACATGCAAGTTTTGTTCCCAGCAGACCAGCGCACAAAACGTGCAAGCTGCAGGTGCAGCGTACCATGTTCACTGCTGTCTGCGCGACGGGACGTGGCCCAAACCAGAACGATAATTTTGCGTCCCGTCAGGTGCGACTTATTTGTCGCTTGTAATGCAGGTCCTTTTTTAAACGGCACCGCATGTGTCCAGGCCCAACGCGAACACGTTTGGCGTTGCTTATTCGGCGCGCACTGCTTGATAGCAATTCCATCGATCGCATCGTCCGCAAAACGTAACTCGTCGTATTGGCATTGACCGGCTTGCCCAGAGTAGGGCACGGGGTAAGTACGTTAAAGCTTGTCAGCAAAAGAGGGCTGAACATTTTTCCGTCGTGTGTAACGCTATGGCACAGGACCCAGTGGTAGAGGCTCCCTGTCCTGGTAGTGCCACTGCGATGTCGGTGTAGTGCCGATGCGATGCCGGTGTAGTGCCGATGCGATGCCGATGTAGGGCCGATGCGATGCCGACGTAGGGCCGATGCGATGCCGATGTAGGGCCGATGCGATGCAATGCGGTGGACGCGATCATAATCTGGTTGTGTGCCCTGAATCTCTGCGTCCGCTCCCGGCCGCGGGCGGAGGTCGGCGCCTTGGCCAAATCTTTCCGGGTCGCCGAAGTGTGCGCGCGATGATGGCATGAGTGCGTGACCCGCTGCCGCGTTGTCAGGAATGAATACAAGGTCGGCAACCGAGTGGAGCTGTCGGTGATCCGCACGGGCAGCGTCAGCTCCAAGAACAAGCGGGAGCCGATGAAGCAGTACCAGTCGCCCAAGAACATCGTAGCGCTGCGCGGCAGCAAAGTGGAGATCTGGTGCATTTACAGCGGCACGTAAGTGACGCCCGGCCCGGCGCCACCGGCCTGTGTCATGAACCACGGGTCCGTCGCGCGGGTGACAGGCGTCAGGTGTCGTGTGTCAGGCGGTGCGCGTGTGCTGACGCCGCCGTCGGCCTGTTTCATGTCACCCGCGTGTTTGTGACGTCGAATGCGTCGAGAGGAAAAGATGGCTTGTTTATAGCGGGCGAATCCTGGTGCTGCGCGCTGGTTGACGTACATGCGGTGTTTTTGCGCTGATGTCACGGATCCAGACAGCGTTTACCTTCCGATGTTTCCGGCTGGTGTGGTGCGCACATCCGTAACGTCGACCTCTGACCGTGACGTCATCCGCCGGCAGGCCGCTACCAACCACCCAGTGGCAGCGATCCAACGGCGTGCTCGATCTCAGCGATGGTCGCGTCAAGTTGAGCAACTTCGGCAAGTCCCTGTTGATCACGGAGGCCCTGTTTGAAGATGAGGGAGAGTACGAGTGCACTTCGAGCAACGGCGTCGGCACGGCGAAGACGAGTTCGTTTAACCTCAAACTCGAGTGTGAGTACACTCGTAATGTAGATAGCGGCACCAGCTTCGCGGCACGGTACCAGGTCTTCTAGAGTTTGCGGGTTCTCTGTCCTATTGCAGAATGGGTGCGTTGGTAGCTGGTTTTTGAATTGTTGCCGAGCTCCGAGAATTCTACAGTTCACTGCGCCGCTGATGGATAAGTTCAGGTGTAGATATATGGGCTGATGCGAGCTGGTAACTGTCATGTGTAACTGTCATGGTAACTGTCTGTGCGTGGTAAAATGGGTAACTGTCATGCTAACTGTCTATGCGTGCGCTCGGTGCGATGGAAGTTCCGTTCAAAAACACGTGCAGTTTCCTAAGCTTCTTCCGTAGTCCCATTGGCAAACACTTGACCCGCGGCCGTGTTGCAGCCGTGCCGTACTTCACCAAGGAGCCGGAGGTGCGCAACGCGGCCGAGGGCGAGACGGTCGTGTTCGAGTGCGCCGCCGACGCCGTGCCCAAGCCCGATCTCTACTGGATCTACAACGGCATGCCGCTGGACAAGGCGCCTCCCAACCCGCGCCGCACCGTCACGCCGAACAAGATCACCATCACCAACCTGCAGAAGTCGGACACGGCCAACTACGGCTGCAACGCCACCAACAACAACGGCTACGTCTACAAGGACGTGTACGTGAACGTGCTGGAGCTGCCGCCGGAGATCCAGGAGAAGCCGCAGGACGTGGCTGCAGTGGTCGGCACGGACGTCAAGATGGTCTGCAAGGTGTTCGGCGCGCCGCACCCGGAGGTCAAGTGGCTGAGCGTCGGCGACAACAGGCAGGAGCTGACCGGCGGGCGCTACCAGATCGGCGACGACGGCACCATGACCATCAAGTACGTCCCTTACACTCCCCTACCCGTCCCCTAGTGAGTACCCTAGTCCCCTCCCCTCCCCTCCCCTTCTCCTCCCCTCCCGTCCGTCCCAGCGCCGGTGTTGACGGACGACCCCGCGCCAAACGGCTGCCCAGGCAGTTCCCGGCGAGGTTGGCATGTTGAGTGTACTTGGTTGGCCTTAGCTAGGTCGGTATCGCCGTACGGTGCATTGCTATTCGGCTGCTAGAGCCTGTCGTTGCCGTTGAAAAGGTCCACGCACATACGGACCCACATCTTAATTGGGGAGGCACCGGTCGTGTTGTCCGCAGGGCGGAAAAGGTGTTCGGTGAAATGGAATTTCTGTTGTGGGGTGTTGGTGCCGGTCTTCAAAACGGCTCATGCGTGGCCATGATCTTAAGTCGTCTCTGCTAAGCATTCAGGGAGTTGTTAAGCATGACGCTTCTGGCTATTAATCAATTCTCACCGCTTCACCCTCGCCGGCCTGCGGGGCAGAAGACGTCCCTCGGCTGTTCTGCTGGACAGAACGGCGCCAGTGGCGCTGACCAGATCGTGCTGGCCAGGTCGTGCTGGCCAGGCCGTGCTGGCCAGGCCGTGCTGGCCAGGCCGTGCTGGTACCGTGCTGGTCGTGCCGCGCCGGCCGAGCTCCGGGATGCCTGGCGCGAGCCTGGCCGCGGGCTCCGGGCGTGGAGTCTGCCGGCACCACCGGCACTGACCGCCGCCGTCTGGCCTGCCCGCAGGAGCGTGACTTTCCCCGACGCCGGAACTTACATGTGCCTGGCCACCAGCAAGCTGGGCGAGGACTCAGCCAACGGCACCCTGGTCGTGAAAGGTGCGCTGCAGAGCCTCCTGTTGATGGCCGGGCGGCACACTGTCTCAGACAAGCAGTGTTCGCTGTCCTCGCGGCGTACAAACGGCGACTGCTGACGGTGAACCGGTGAAGCTGACGTGCACGTAGGCGGGTTTGTTGTCTCACCTCCGTGAATCGTTTCACACCCGTCTGCATTAGTGGGTTGTTTGGCGATGGTGTCCGTGTAAGTCTGGGCTCGCTCCGTCCGGCGCGCGGCGCGACCGGCTCAGACTCGCGCGGCCGCCGCGTTTGTGTGGGTAGCGGGGCGGCGGCGGCGCTTGTCCACGGCTGGCCTGACCTGACCTGACCTGACCTGACCTGACCTGACCTGACCTGGCCTGATCTGACCTTGTTTCGCCGTCGGCCAGAGCGGACGCGCATCACGCAGGGCCCCGAGGACTACCAAGTGGTGGCCGGCAACTCTGCCACCTTCCGCTGCACGGCCGCCGTCGACTCGACGCTTGACGTCAGTATCGGCTGGCTGGCCGACGGCGTGCCCATCAACTTCGACATCGAGCCCAGGTGAGCGCCGCGTCGACGAGAGCGCGCGCCGCCGACTTGAGCGCGCGCCGCCGACCGAAGCCAGTGTCGAGCAGAACGCGCGCCGTGCTGCCCGGCGGTTTACGAGCTGCTTGTTCGGCGTGCGGGCGACGTTTTCGCTGTTGCCCTTGTTAAGGTGGTGTTCCTACCAGCTTGTGTGTCTAATTCCGATGTGATATCCGTGAATTTCTGGGAGCTGCCTTGTGTCTACGTAGGCATGTTGTGTCTACATACCCCGCCTGCCCGGTCTGAAACAAGTGGCTGTCCGCTTTGTCAAGACAAGGTAATGCTTTGCTATTAATGCTGGCGAGCGTGGGAGCATGTTCGGCACGCCATGGTATACCCCACATAGATACATAAACGGGACTTCAAGCAGGACTTCTGCAGCGCTGTACCTGCGTGGAGCGAGCTCATTGTCAATCAACCCACCCGAACGCGTTGCTGTCGCGGCTACAGGTTCATCCAGACGTCGGACAACTCGCTGACCATCACCAAGACGACCGAGCTCGACTCCAAGGTGTACACGTGCGTGGCGTCCACCGAGCTGGACGAGGCGCGGGACGACGCCACGCTCAAGGTGGAGGACGTGCCTAACGCGCCGACGCTGAAGACCGTCGCTTGCAGGTGAGGCGACGGGGCCGGCTGACGCGCCCGCTCGGCCGCGTGCCGCCCGTGGATGGGGCCCGCCGTGGGCGCGCACCCTGTCTCTGAGGGTGACTGACGTCGCGCGCGGTGCGGGAGTCGCTCCAGACTGGCGGGGTCGCTGTCACCTGGCGCGACCCGGGTGTCTGTCCTCTTGGAATGGCCGTGGGCCCTGCCCACCTGATGCGGCCCGGTGTCTGACCGCTGATGCGGACCATTCCACGCCCCTGCGCCTGCCTGACGCCGCCCGTGTGTCGTCTCTGAGGGTGACCGTGTTACTGGCGCCCCCGCCCGCCTGATGCTGCCTGTGTGTTGTCTAAGTATGACCATGCTTCTGCCCCCCGCCTGTGTGACGCCGCCCGTGCGCTGCCCCTAGGGAGCAGGTGGCCGAAGTGGGGTGGCAGCCGAACGGCGACAACCGCGCACCGATCCTGGGCTTCACCATCCAGTACAACACCAGCTTCGCGCCTGACACCTGGGAAGAGGCGGCCAACTCGCCAGCCTCGAGCAGCAGCTACACGGTCAGCATCAGCCCCTGGGCCAACTACACGTTCCGCGTGATCGCGAAGAACCGCGTGGGCCCGTCGCTGCCGTCCGGCCACTCGGAGGTGTGCACCACGCCCAAGGCGCTGCCCGAGAAGAATCCCAAGAACGTGGAGGGCCGCGGCACGAAGCCGGACAACTTGGTCATCCGCTGGACGGTGAGTGCGCCGGCCTCGTGCGGCCTCGTCCGTCGCCGGTCGCGTTGCGAGTGGCTCCTCGCCGGCCCCGTTAGGCGCCTTGTGTCAAGAGGGCTGTACGTACCGATGAGCACGTATGGGCGAGTGGGCCCGCTGTCTCACTGATCTTGGTCGGCGAGTTAGCTCGCTGTCTCACTCGTCTTGACCGGTGAGTTGTCTCGTTATTCCACTTGTCTTGGTCGGTGAGTTGTCTCGTCATTCCACTTGTCTTGATCGGTGAGTTGTCTCGTCATTCCACTTGTCTAGATCGGTGAGTTGTCTCGTCATTCCATTTGTCTTGATCGGTGAGTTGTCTCGTCATTCCATTTGTCTAGATCGGTGAGTTGTCTCGTCACACCCGTCGTGATCGGCGCCTTGTCTCGTCACGCTTATCTTGATCGGTGAGTTGTCTCGTTATTCCACTTGTCTTGATCGGTGACCTGTCCTATCGTACTTGTCTTGGCCGGTGCGTCGTCTCGTTATCCCACTCGCCTTGATCCGTGACTTGTCACGTCACCTTCGTCTTGATCGACGCCGTCACACTTGTTCTGATCAGTGATTGTTTCGTTACCCTTCTTGCCTTGATCGGTCTTGGAACTCGTCCTCGTGGCACTGGCGTGCTGCCTCAACCATCCAGCGGCCGGCCGGCCTGACCCGCCGTGTCGTCCGCAGCCAATGTCGAAGATCGACCACAACGCGCCCAAGTTCCGCTACCTCGTCCGCTGGAAGCGCAACGAGTCGAACGCCGAGTGGAACCAGAAGGTGATCATGGACTGGCGGCGCGGCCATCTGGTGATCCCCAACCAGCCCACCTATGTGCCGTACAAGATCCGCGTGGACGCGCTGAACGAGCTGGGCGAGAGCGTGGTCGAGTCGGCCGAGGTGATCGGCTACTCGGGCGAGGACGGTGAGTGGTCGGGCGGCGCGGCGGGCTCGTCATTGCGACGCGGGGCTGCGGCGGTGGGGACGCGCTGTCGCGACCACGCGCTCGGTGGCGCGGCGCCGCGGACTGCGAGGGACGGCGCGTGCTGGCCGACACATGCGCCAGAGCGGTGCGTGGGCAGGGCTTGAGGCGGGTCTGTCGGACCCACGGTTATCCAGCACTGACACGCCCCGGCTGTCCGTTGCGATCTGCTAGACGCAATCCTATGTGTTTTTGTTGCGTCAGTGAATGTGAAATGCCCCTCGTCCAGCACCCAACAAATCAGAAAAAAAAACGATGATTCGGCGCGTTTTGTGGCGAAGAGTCGCTGCTGCTGGGGCGTACCTGGAGGGCGGTGGGAAGGCTGAGGTGCCCGCTCTGTGTCCGACAGTGCCCACGGCGCCGCCTACCAACTTCCGGCTGGAGAAGATCTACGACGGCAAGCGCGCGCTCTTCTCGTGGAGCCCCGTGGACAACTCGACCATCCGCGGGGAGTTCCTCGGGTACAAGGTGAGCGCCGGCGTCCTCCGGCACCGGCCGCTCCGGCGGGCGCTCGGCCGGCTGGCTGAGACGCCGTCACTGGCGCCGTTGTGAGTCGTGTATTGACGGACGCGAGGCACCGAGCGGCTAGTGGCGGGGTGAAGTCCACGAACACCGCCGCTGATAGTCGGCCGCTCGCCGCGGCGTGTTAGACGCCGCTCCGGCCTGTCGGCGCGGACTGCGCCGGTGGTTGCCGCGCGCCGGTCTGAGCCGGCGCGGATCTGCCGCGGGCGGCCGCTCCCCGCCCCTCGGCGGCGGTCGTGCCGCGCTGTGCCGCCCCTGATCCGGCCCGCGCCTCGCCGTCGCCAGATCCAAACCTGGACCGAGAAGGAGGGCACCGACAAGAAGCGCGAGATGTCGTTCGGGCCAGACGTAACCCAGGGGCTCGTCACCAAGTTCAAGCCGCACGCGCGCAACAAGGTGCAGATTCTGTCCTTCAACCGGATGTACGAGGGACCGCCGAGTGAAGTGTTGACCTTCGACACGCCGCAGGGCCGTAAGTATGCGCCGCCGGGGAGCCCCGAGTCTCAGCGCGGCGCGTTCAGCCCGGAGCGTGCTGCTCCGAGACCACCCGGTGCCGGTCGGGCCCGGTGCCGTTCGGTCACGCGCGCGGCTGGGGTGGGGGTATTCTTGAGTGCGGCTGGGAGTCGTGGTGTTCGCTGTGTCCGCTGTTACCTGAAAATGTGTGTGGTGGGCCCGCTTCGCTTATCAATGTTCCTGACACCTGCTCCCACTTAGTGTTCGCTCCAACGGGCGCACAACTCGGTGTGCACCTGACAAGCGAGGGAAACTCTCAGGTCCGATGTGCGGCGTGGTCATACACGTGACCCTGTTTCGCCGGTGGGCTGTTGGTTCGCTGTCTCGCCTGAACGCGCGGCCGCTCCGTCCGGGCGTGACTAGCTGTTAGCGTTGTCTGGCGGGTGTGGGCGTCGGCGGGCAGGCATCAGCGGCAGCGCCGGTCCGCCGCTGCCCCGGCCAGCGGCGCGCTGGGCTCGGCTGACGCCCCCCCCCCCCCCCATCCTCCCCGCAGGGCCGAGTGCCGTCGATTCGCTCGAGGCCGTCCCGATGGGTTCGTCCGCCTTTTTCCTGATCTGGAAGAAGCCGCGCGAAACCAACGGCGTGCTGACGGGCTACAAGGTGGAGTACCAGAAGATGAACGGCCTGAGCCTGGGTCCGGTGCTGGACCGCACGCCGCAGATCACCAACCCGCGCACCACGCGCACCAAGCTGGCCGGCCTCAAGCCGTCGACCAAGTACCGCATCACAGTGCGCGCGCTGACGGAAGCCGGCGAGGGACCGCCGTGAGTACCCGGCGCGGCTCCGGCGCTGGCGTCACCGGGGCGGCCCGGTCTGGTCCTGACTGACCTGACCTGACCTGACCTGACCTGACCTGACCTGACCTGACCTGACCTGACCTGACCTGACCTGACCTGACCTGACCTGACCTGACCTGACCTGACCTGACCTGGCCTGGCCTGGCCTGGCCTGGCCTGGCCTGGCCTGGCCTGGCCTGGCCAGTGCGGCGGGGTACGGCCCCCGACCGAGCAGGAGGTCAGCGCGACGGTGCCCGCTGGCGGCCTGTCCGCCCACGTGGTGCGCATGCGCAGGCGTGGGATTGACAAGCGAATGCTACACATCAGAGAAGTGCGACTGGTCAGGCGGTCAGGTGTCTCTGGGCTAGTCTAGGGCTACGGGTGTTCCGCCTGTCAAGGTCGCAGTTTGAGGAGCGTGAAGAGCTGCTTGAACTTGATGCTCTCACAAATTAGTTTCCCGTTATTTTACGTGCTCTAGGAGGCTTATGCCGACCATATGCCCTTTTGTAAGTCGTGACGAAGGAAACATGTGTCACGTTTCTAGTCTGAAGTCCTGTAGCGGGACTAGCAGGGTCATTACGCGAGAAAAAAACGCCAAAAACGCCGGGCTGTGTGATCCAGGTGCCAAAGAACCGTCCCGTCATTTTCTTAAATTTGAATTGCCCTCAACTTGAACTCAGGTCGTAGAGTTATCGCGCCGTCGGGCCGGGCAACGCGGGCGTCCGTTCTCGAGGGAAAATGATCTGAACCTTTCTGGGACGTTGCGCTTAGCACTGCGTAACCAGGGGAGGGATTTTCCCCAAGCGCAGCCAGGGTGTAATCAGGGAGGGTGTTGAAAATGAGCAAAAACACATGTCGGAATTATGAGCCGCCCCATGTTCCGGGACATTCACCATGCTGGTTCAGCTGTTCATTGATCCCGGCGATGATCCACAGCATACGACAAGATATTTGTCATGAAATCACGACGCTCTACCTTTAGCGGACAGATAACTTTCGATACCTTGCGAACAAACAAAAGATCGTGTTTGCCGATCGGCCTTCAAGGGAACGAGTATCCCATTATTTTAAAAAGCTTGCGAAATACTCGAAATTCTGACCTCGGTGCAAGCTGTCCCACCTTGCACCGTCATATATATATTTGGGGTATTATGACGCGTCAACGGCGTCGGCTGTTGGCGCCCTGACGCTGCCACCCGAACTATGGCACCACGTCGAGCGCCATCGTCGCTCTGTAAGATGCCGAGCCGCTCTGACCGAGGCGCGTCAACTCGGGACCGTCGCTGCAGGTACTACATCGAGCGGACCACGAAGAGCCCTCAGACGCAGCAGCCGGACCGGCCCAGCCTGCTCTGGGCGCACGTGCGCGGCGAGGAAGGCTCCGAGAACAACCTCAAGATCACCTGGCTGCCCAACACGGAGGGTCGGCCGGGCTCACACTTCTTCGTGCAGTACAGGTGAGGGCGCCGGCTGCGGTCAGCGGCCGAGCCTCAGTCGCGGCTGCGGCCCGGCGCCCGCGCTGGGCCTGGTCTGGACGCCGCGTCCAGCCGGCCCCGCGGTGCCGAGGTCGGCGTGACGGTCGCACGGCGCGGCGCGCGCGGGGCTGTCGCGTGGGCTTGTCATCACGGGCTGTGTGAGGAGTGAGTGAGAGCTGGCTGGGGCTGGGGCTGCTACTGCTGCTGCTGCGCCCGAGAGTCCGGGCCGACGCTGACCTGACCCCGCGCGCCGCAGGCGGGCCGGCGAGGCGTCCTGGATGTCGTCTCCGATCGAGTACTACGACGACAGCATTCTTCTCCGCGGTCTTGACCCGGCTCAGGTGTACGAGATTCGCACTGTCTCGGTCGACGGCCTTTTCAATGCCTACTCGGACGTGGAGGAGGTACGACCCGGACGAAGTGAAGACCCGCTCCCGTCAAAGGGAGTGGTTCTTCCTTTGGTTTTAAGTGTGCCAGTTCAAGTGTTGTGGGCAGCCATTGACCCTTTCCCAGACGGGAATGAAAATCGCCGCTCCAGTACCCGCCTCGTTTGGCTTCGTTCGTCTGATCCGTCTAGTCCCCGCGCGTGTGATGACGTCGGCCAGGTGCTCTGAGCCCGCAGGGGCCTGTCAGCGGCCGCGGCTGACGTCGCCGGCGCGACGCCCCGCCCCCAGGTGGAGACGTACGCGCCGGACGGGCCGTACATCCAGGCCACGCAGTCGGTGCACACGTCCGGCTGGTTCATCGCCATGATGCTGGCCGTGGCGCTGCTGCTGCTGATCCTGGTGCTGGTCTGCATCGTCCGTCGCAACCGCGGCGGCAAGTACGACGTGCAGGACCGCGAGAACGCCCACGGTCGCGGCGACCTGTACCCGGAGGACGGCTTCCAGGTGAGGAGGAGTCACGGGCGTCCGCGCGCCGCCCGCCGCCGGTCGCTCGCCGCGTGCGCCGGCGGGGACGGCGCTGTTCGGCGGTGCGGAGGTGGCCGAGCATTGCTTCCTCTTCACCGCTCGTGACGCGCCGCAACTGGATGGTGTTGCCGACGCTGGTTTTCCCGGACATTGGTATGCATCGTGCCTTGTCATAACGGGTTCCCTGGCTAGTCCTCGAGTCCGGAACGTATGGCATCAGTGGCGAAATGGAACAAGGACACACAAGCCGCCGCGGCCACTGTCGCGTCTTGCGTACCGCGTCATCCACTCGCAATATACCCTCGGCTCACACCAAGCTCGGGATGTGACGTGGCGGTTTGAGCTGGGCTTTGGCGCAGCCGGCCGGCTGGTGGCGGGATCCGTGGCGGCGCTTCACCACCGTGACGGGCCGCGGTCAGCCAGCCGGCCGTGTGCCCGAGCCCGGGCTGGCCGGGCGCGCCCGGCCGGCCGGGCGTGCCGCGCCTCACCGCCGCGCCTCACCGCCACGCCTCACCGCCACGCCTCACCGCCACGCCTCACCGCCACGCCTCACCGCCGCGCCTCGCCGCCGCAGGAGTACCAGCAGCCGCTGGATGCCAAGCTGCCGCCGGGCAGCCGCGGCAGTCTCGGCTCGGACGTCAAGCACCCGCACGAGAGCGACACGGACTCGATGGCCGAGTACGGCGACGACCCGGCCGGTGAGTGCGGCGCCTGCGCCGGCGGTCGGCCGCCCGGCTGCTCGGTCGGGCAGGCCGCCGGTCCGGCAGGCAGGCGGTCAGTCCGGCCGGATACTGAGGCCGTGGTGACGCCCGACGCCGAGTTTGCAGTTCGGTAATTTGGTCCCCTTGCCAGTTCTTTTTTGTAAAGGCCGGGCCTTTTTCGTGTGTCTGGACGTACGGTACGGTCCGCTTTAAGTAAAGGTCATTGTCAACAGCATCTTGCATGACGCATCACTCAGCATGACTGTTGCACCGTAATTAGTTCCACGGCCGCAGTTACCGACGTTCCCTTTATGGTTTGCCTGGCCCCACTCAGCCAACCGCCACTCGGTGTTGACCAAAGCATGCCGGGAGAACATCGCTCCCCTCCCCGCGGTCATTGGTTCGCTCGCCACGCCGTTTTGTCTAGGTTGACTGCGGCTGGCTGTCCGTTTGAGGTGTTGGCCCTGGCTGTGCGGCGCGCGCCCGCTAGCGCCGCGTCCCCCACTGACCGCCGCCTGTGGCCGGCCGGCCGACGCGCAGAGGGCATGAACGAGGACGGCTCATTCATCGGCCAGTACGGGCGCGGGCCTCGCCACCAGCCGCCGCCGCCGGCCGACACCAAGATCGGCACGTTCGTGTAGCTGTCGCCGGCCGAGCCGCGCGCGCCCTTGCACGGTCTGTAGGCGGGACAGAGGCGTCTCCGCGCGGTCTGTTGGTCTGCTCCACTCCAGCCAGCTCCTTCCGTGCCGGAAGCAGAGACGAGCTCGGTCGGCAGTGACGTGTGGTGTGACGCAGTAATGAGTCAGAGTGTGAATGGGCTTGCAAATCGAGTGCAAGTCAACATTCGGTCTTGTGTATGCTCGGTGACCGCAGATCTGAGGCGTACATGCTGACGTTCAGCTCGGACGAAAATCCCCCTGTTTTGCATCGCATCGTGGACGACAGACAAGCTGCCTTTGCGGACCTGGGGGTCTTGTATGTCCTTGCAGTGTCGTTAACTTACTCCCAAATGAACCGCTGTAGCCTGGATGTTCTGCCGGAATGTGCTGCGCTTGATCCGCTGAATCCCTTATCGTCTGCTCTCCTTATACGCTGAGCTTGAGCATTCACGTCGTGCCGCTGCCCGATTGTCACATGCGATCGTCTGCGACCGTGATGTTACCGTCGTGTGCCGCTCGCTCTGTGGGCGCGCCGCCGCGGCCGCGGTGGCGGGGGTCACCTTTCGGGCCGACAGCGGGCCGGTGCGGGGCGGGAGGCCGCCGCCGGCGCAGTGCTGACGCGTCGCCCTCGCGCTCCAGGCCGCTTCACCGAGGACGGCTCGTTCATCGGCCAGTACGGCGCGCAGAAGCGCAAGGGCTCGCCGCCGACCGGCGCCGCCTACGTGTAGCGGCCGGCGCGCGCGCGCGCGAGCGGACTCTAACCGCGGGCGTGGCGGCGCCCGCTGCCGGGGCAGGATCGGACGGAGGCGGCGGCAGCTGCGGCCCCGCCGGACTATCGGGAGGCCCCGGGACGGACTCGGCCGGCCCCGACGCCGGAGCAGGGCATGGTCTGAAGGGCGGCCGGGCCGGGCTGAGCCGAGTGCAGACACGAATCCAGAACATTCCTGCGCTAATCTAGAGGCTTGCGCGCCATGTGGCTATGTTCTCGCCAGCCTCGTGCCGCCGCGCGGCTGCCTGCGTCGGCGCCACACCGCATCCCTTCAGGCGGCGGCCTCGTGGGTGCACCCGCTTGTCGGACGGGGCGACGTGTCCGCCTCGTCCGCCGGCGCACGCTTCGACTCACGCCGCCGCGGCGAGCCCGATCGCTGGGCTGTTCCCGACTGCCAGGCGCGGCACCTCTGGCTCGCCAGCCAGTTGAATCTCACGTTACTCGGAGGATGTGGACGAGATTACTGCACGAGATCTGATGGGATCTGAGCGCGTCTGCTTGTGTTGCGCGCGGTCATTATCATATGGACTTGTTCGAAACGTACGCGGTGTCGAGGGATTTTGTTTAAGCGGTTTATGCAGTCGGTTGTGTCGGAAAGCCACATTTTAGTACCATGCTGTCTGTGAGTGTTCCTTTTTTAGCTATAGAATTGTTTGTGTTCTCTCGCACTTGCGTGACTTATCAATTTGCATCTGGTGTGAGGTATTGGCATAATTCAGTGAATGGGCGTACTGATGGATCTGTATTTGGTGAGTTCGGCGTGTGGCAGATGACTAGGATATGAAAACGACTTGGGCCCACAGCACAGCTTACGGCTTCTGCTGCAGCACACGGACGACGCCCGCACTCGCATACTGCTCCGTTACTCCTGCACAACTGTGCTCCCGTAGAGTTCGCTAGGAATGGCTTCTGTCAGAAGCTGAGCTGACGATAGATGTATTTTGGTGTGAAATAAATACAGCGACCACCTATCGTCGAGGGGCTTGTTTTACTCGGCTGTGGGCTTGACCTGTCAAGGTCACCATTCTTTCGAGGTGAGGGCATCTGACGGACTGGTTTGGTTTTCGCCCCGAAGTGGATTATGTGGCTTGAATTCCGAAATCGGCCTATACCTTTAGTGTTGTGAAGTTTCCCGTCATTTGACCTTTAATTTTGCCTTGAATCTACCTTGAGAGGCCAGGACTTTGACGGACGGTAGCTAATGCGCAGAAGGAACTCTAATCCTAAAAAGAGAAAAATGTTTTGAGTTGATATTGAGCTACCCGTCAGTTGGTCTTGAATTTCTGCTTCAATGGTGACCGTGATGGGTGGGCGCAAAATGGCCCTGACGCCGACGCGCCCTTAAAAACCAAATCACCACCACGGTGACCGTGATGGTTCAGAGCCATCTCGGACGCTGGCTAACGTACTGAACATTCTGATGCTCGAAGATCCGAAATAGACTCGCAACTTTCGAGTGTCGCGGAGTTTCACCTCTGGGCGACCTCGAATTTCGCCTTGAAACTTAAGAAGCCAGGACATTTGAACGAGGCTGATGACCTTTGTGCCGAAAAGATTAGCACGCGCTTCGGTAGGGGAAAAGTTTGACACCCGTCGATTTTTTCCAGCGTGGCGTGCGAACGACGCGCTGTGGCTGTGCCAAACTTTGCATAGCTGCGGCCGATTATATGGCGGAGTTTTTGGTATAAAAATTACATGGCTGCCATCACATTAAATTACATTGCAAATAACACAATTACTGACCTATGGCAGGTCAAAATCAGGGCTTGTTTGTCAGTGAAGGCCGTTTCCAGAGAATCTCCCAATCTGATGCGACAACGCAGTGTTAGATGAAGCCATGCATCCCTGAAATAGCTCATTTGGCAATTCACCAACTGTTTTTGCGATTACAACAAATTGCATTGAGCCAGGGAAGGTCAGACCGAGGTCAAAACTTGTGGTGGACCTCTTGGAGAGCTAGCAGGCAGTCCTGCATGTCGGCTGCCCCCAAAGTTCAGCAGCACCCCACCTGTTTGACTCCTGGTGACGTGTTTTCTTTGGTACCCTGCGCATTATGGGGGTCATTTTCTGCATCTCCGCACCGCGGACCCTGAACCACGATGCATTCCCTTTCCCTGCCTGAATACCATTCTGGATCGACATTTCGCCGAAGTGGATCACTGCAGGCCCTTCTTAGCCTTAGCGTGACGGGGGGGGGGGGGGGGGGGAACTGTGGGCGCCTTTGGCCGCGTCTCTGCCGAAAATGACACTTTATTTGGTCAAATATTGTCCTGCGGTGAGTGATAACGTAACTATCCCCTCCCCCCCCCCCCCCTGCAGCGATTTACCTTCAAGCCGGAGATCGCCGCAGTGCCGTCTGCTGGCACCGAGACCACGTGAAGCGCGCCGGCATGCTCCGAAGCTTGCTTCCATTTCTGGCGGCGCCTGATTTCCGCAACGTCGCTGAAAGCGTGCCGATGAGCCTGGAAGCGCTGCGTCACGTGACCGGCTGCTGGCACCAGCTGGTCGGGTTCGATCGGGACCGCGCCGGGTCGGCCAAGTCGACTTCTGTCGCTATGAGTTTGTCTCCCTCAGCCTTGGCGTTCAGTCGTGATTATTTATCTGTAGTGTGTTATCCGCCGGTAAGTCGCAGGACATCACCGCGTATCACCGTCTACCAGTTATCACCATCCCATTGCCTTATCGCTGATAGTGTACTTGACGACCGCATACGCGCGACCCATACCCATGCCATGAGCGCTGCACAGTGCTCGCAGCGGCCGCAGCTCGTTGTCATGACACGTGGGACGTGACGCTGCGTATCCGTGCATCCTTCGTTGAGAGCTCAAACGTCTGAAGACCACTCTCAGCATCGAGCCACACCCCGCAGCGCGAGTGGCGCCGCGGCTGTGCACGCTGCATGCACGCTGTGCACACCTGAGGTGAAGGCGGGCGCGGCGGTCTGCGTCAAAAGACCGCCGGACCGGCGGCCCCGCCCGCCGCATCTATACCGCTGTACCCACACCCCACGCACATACGTACTCGTGTATTCATGGCTATAACTCCTCCGAACAAGGCAAGAAACATCTAGACGCAATGTCAGTTTGCGACGATACGCATAAGGTATCACTGAGAACATGTCAAAAAAAGCATCGGGAAAAGATATGACCAGCAAGCACATCCCGAGGCTCGACCAGGGAACATAATGTCTACGCGGTTCAAAAGAGCCCAGCGCCCAGCGTAAAAAGTCGGTGGCGACGTAACAGAGAGGCCGCCTGGCTGCGTCGCGAGCCTCGGACCCCGCTGGGGACCACCGTCGGACGGGCCGGGCCGGTGCGGGGCAGCCAGCGGCGCCCGGGACGCTCTGACTCCGAGCTTCGGAGCAGGCCGCCCGTGACACGGTGGGTGACTGTGCGAGCGCGAGAGGCGCGCCGGACAGGCCTGCCGCTGCGGTCGCACAGTCGAGGGCGGCGCCGGCGGCGAGACAGCCGCCAGCGGCGCCGACGGCCGGACAGCCGCCAGCGGCGCCGGCGGCCGGACAGCCGGGGGCGGCGCCGGCGGCCGCACAGCCGAGGGCGGCGCCGACGGCCGGACAGCGCCAGCCAGTAACCGATCAGCCGGACGGCACCGGCCACTGACCCATCAGCTGGACGGCGCCGGCCACTGACCGATCAGCCGGTTAGCTGACGGCACTGACCGCCCGTGTAGAGGGGAGAGCGGCTGGCTAGCATCGCCGCAAAAAGGAAAAAATGTGACAGCAAGATCATTCGGTACATGCGCACGCAAGCAGCCTCATACATAACTATGTCCAGAATTCCCTCGCTACAGACTACGCTAAAGCCCAACTGAGAGTGATATTTAGCGCTCACTCAGTACGGATACAACCCAGAGCTGCAGCTGGTGCTGCGGCAAGGGCAATATCATGCCAAACACAGCAATTTGGATCAACTGGTCGCGGCTCTTTGAAACAAGTCATTTTCAAAGCGGAGCAATTGCACACTGTGGTGTCGTGAAGGAGAAAATAAGCTTAAGGTGCATCCAAGTCGCCCTTTTCGGCACGACAGACGAACCCTTTCTTGCCCTCCCATGATGCAAATACAAAACCGAGAATAAAGGGGACACGAAATGCACGTTAGTTGACCCACGTAGGGGAGTGAGCCAAGATTTCCACCCATATGAAAACTTAAATGCATAGATATGAGGGCAAACAATCTCCAGCAAAAAGCAGCGATCAGAAACACGCGAGCCGGGGACGAGGACAGAGGGAGACTAGGGAGACAGATCCATTAAACACAAGTCCTTCAGGGCGATGTGTGGAAACAGGATTCAAGAGCATCCCCGTGCCCGTCCTAACAAGCTAGACAGGTTCTAGCGCCGCGACGCGCCACGATAAACGACGCCCGACCAGCAGCATCTCGATAGTGGCTATCATCGTCCGCAATCCCGCGGGTCAACGCTTCAATAACATCTAAAATATCAGTCAACAAACGCCAGGTGGCAGCGCCCGCCGGCGCTGCGCCGGTCCGGCGCCCCGCGCAGCCGGACGCCGCCGGCGAGCGCCGACGCCGTCCACAGCACCGCCGCCTCGCTGTATTGCAGAATACTGTCCGTATTGCACGCTAGCACCACCTGCCGTCGCCGGCTGAACTGCTCGTTAGCCCGGCGGCCGACAGGCGGGTCACACTATCGCCGAACGGTCGATGTCGCCGGCGTCGCCGTTGGCCGGCGGCCGCTGGTCCGGGTCGGCCGGGTGCGAGGCGCTGCGCTGCCGCTCGCGCACCTCCACGAAGTTGACGTGCCGCCCGCTGGGCGTGGTCGGCACGCTGAGCAGCGAGCTCAGCTCCGACTGCTCGGTGTCGCTGCCGGCCGGCGGCGCGGCGCCGTCCAGCACGGCCGGCGCCGACACCAGCGTGGCACTCGAGTCGGCCGCCCGGCTGACCGTGTTGCTCGGGTTCAGGTGGAAGTCCCGCAGGGAGTCGGTGCGAGAGCCCTGCGCGCGCGAGAGCCGTCGGCACGTCAGGTCGCGCGACGCGCGGTGCACCACGCCAGGCGACGGCCTGTCACGCAACACATCTGCATGGGGATCACACCGGAACCATCCGTCGTAAGGGACTTCAGAATCAGCTTGGAACAGCTGAGCTGGGTCTTATCACCCATAGACGACGGCACGAAACACTGCAGGACCAAGTAACTAAACACGTTCTATCGCAATCACGCAACAACCCAACCTCGGGGTTCGGCCCAGTTCATTGGGCCGAGCTGACGACCCCAGACCCCAGCCTGGGTGAGTCCCAGCGTCAGCACAGCCGGCAGCTCTGGGCCGCTCACCATGTCGGCGATGTCGTTGACCAGCTGTTCGGTGAGCGGGTTGGGGTCGCGCTGCTGAGCGGCCACCAGCGTGGCCTTGCGGGCCGCCACGTAATGCCCGCGCCGGATGCGCAGATAGTAGACGTCCGTCACGGCCCGCACCGAGTACTCGGGCACGAACGTGGCGCGGTGCGAGCCGTCCAGCGAGTGCACCGAGCCGCGCAACACCGGGGACGCGTCACCTACGGCGACGGCGGTCACCCGGTCAGCCGCGGCGCGGCACACAGCCACGGCCACACAGGGGAGCGGTACATAGCCGCGGTCACACACGGAGAGCGGCGCATAGCCACGGCCGCACACGGGGAGCCGCACATAGCCACGGCCACAAACAGAGAGCGGCACATAGCCGCGGCCACACACGGAGAGCGGCGCATAGCCACGGCCGCACACGGGGAGCGGCAAACAGCCACGGCTACACACGGAGAGCGGCACATAGTCGCGGCCACACACGGAGAGCAGCGCATAACCACGGCCACACACGGAGAGCGGTACATAGCCACGGTCACACGCGGGGAGCGGCACACGGCCACACACGGAGCGTGGCACACAGCCACGGCTCCGCATGGGAGCGTCGCAGAGCCGCAGCAAATGCCGCGCAGTCGCGGTCACAAACACACACAGACACCACACTAGCCAGCACACAATACACACACACATACACGGCCACACCAGGTAAGTGGCCTGCGTTCCGGAACAAGACTCGGAGCACGGCCACACAAACCGCCGTGGACAAGGAACAGCTGAGACAGTGGCATCTCCCGCTCCGCAGGGGCAACAGCCACACATCCAGCACGCGCCTGGCCGAGTTCAAACCCCAGCACGACATCACAACAAGCAGTACGCTGCTTTTCCCAGAGGGCGTTAGGCACCAGCCGCTCCGGCCACTCACTCTCGCCGGGCATGGTCAGCGCCTGGGTGCCGAAGTAGCTGAACGGGCCGCTCTCGAACGACAGGTTCTCCTTGCCCATCGTGACGTCCACGCGGCCCTCCAGGATCATGCAGAAGAAGTCGACCGGCTTGCTCTGGGAAGAGGATGTCCCCGTCACGCGCTGGGCTCCCTGGTCCTGGATAGCAGGGGAGGACGGCTGGCTGTGGCTGCCCCTGGCTGAGGCTGCCCCTGGCTGTGACTGCCCCTGGCTGTGACTGCCGCTGGCTGTGACTGCCCCTAACTGTGGCTGCCCCTGGCTGTGACTGCTCCTGGCTGTGGCTACCCCTGGCTGTGGCAGTCTCTGGCTGACTGCCCCTAGCTGTGGCTGCCTCTGGCTGTGACTGCTTCCGGCTGTGGCTGCCCCCGACTGCGGCTGCCCCCAACTGTGGCTGCCCCTGGCTGTGACCGACCCTAGCTGTGACTGCCATACCGACACAGTGCGTCGCCAATACCCCGCACTGCAAACCTAAAGCCAGCCAAACATGTACAGGCCGTTGCTAAGCTACCTGCGACAACGATCTCAGTTACAGCCCGGCTGCCAGGCTCTGTTATCAACGTACAGTCATCGGAGCCGAGTGACTAACACCACCACCATGTACAGGTGGGTGCAGTGCGACCGGCGCAAAAACTCTAATTGGAGGTGACTCATACCTTCCAAATACGCCAGCTGTATCTACAACCAGCAATAATGCGCAACTCGCATGGCGTTTCATACGGCCCGCGCTTGCAAAAGGCCTACAAAGTTTACCGTTGTGGGTTGTTATCTGTTTCTTCTGTCGCCCCCCCCCCCCCCCCCGGTCCCCGACACCCATCGACTCTAGCGGCATCCGTAACAAAAATGCGAGCCCAGGTTTACTGCGGTGACTGTGTCACGATTCCCGGGTCTGATCACGCGTTCTGAATGACAACATCATAAAATATCATCGACGTCCTAAAATGTACATTCACATACATTTCGTTTCAGATGTTCGAGATGTAGCTGCGTCACGTGCAGCATTTAGGAACGTTGCCGTGTGCCATGTTGCGTACGTTGTCTAGAACAACATTTAAAATACCCAAGCTCTCAAACATCGCCCCCAGCCCAAACAGAGTCCGCAGCTGAAGCCCGTTTCCGTGCCGGTGCCGTCCCCCGCCCCTGGATGTTCGTGCCCAGCTCAGAATCCATGTCCACCCTCGGACCGACTGTGGTGCGCACCCGTTCGTAGATGAACGCCTTGAGTTGCCGTCCTTCAGCTTGATGTGACGCACCACGTCCTGCTCCAGCAGCTTCTTCAGCACGGACGGGCAGATGAGCTCGTTCTTGAACGGCTCCACTGTAACAGGGCGGACAGCGGTGTTGACTGATGGAATGTGACCCCGGTCGAGCACGGACACGCGCTGGCCAGACGTCTGAGCCTGCAGACCGCCTGTCACGCGGCGTCCACGACCCGCTCCCAGCTCTCCAGACCGCCACCGTGCGGCTCCACTGACTGGCAGTGTGTGTGTCTGTGTGCGCAGAGGGGGAGGGGGTGATTTTCATATAAATTCCGTCCGCCTATTTTGTGGATATCTGTATGGATATCATGTGAGGATATCGTCTTCATGGATGGATACCTGGACTCAGAGTTCACGCTACGTAGCGCTTATGTGAGCCCTGACCTCACCATCCGATCGGAAAATTCCAGTTCCACGGCACATTTTTGCGGCGGAAGTCGTGCTGCAATGCTCGGCACGGTCCGCCCCTGACGTCACCTGACCTTGAGCGACCGCTACCACCGGCCGTAAACCATCCCAGCCAGACGCCAATAGCGAGCGTCAAAGCGACTTGAACCCATACACCTCTCAGCGGGTAGACTGGGAATCAGGATATCTAACCATTGAGTTACAGGGGCGGACTTCCTCAACAACAGAAAGTGTTGCATGTGAAAGTTCACCAGCCTTTAACATCTGACCCATTGTCACATCGCTTAACTGTTCTGAATCAGGTTCCGCCCAGATAATGCCTGAAGGTCAAGCAAGACCGCATTGCACTTCTGCAAAAACCAGGTAACAAAAGACACGTCTACGGGGTACAATGACGCCAGAACTGGGAGCCCAGCCGCGCCCAGCCCAGCTCGGCCGGCCTCTCAGGCGCCCCCCGCCGCTCACCGGTCTGCAGGAACTGGAACGTGGCCAGCGCCAGCTGCGGCGAGATGTGGATCTGGTTGTTGGTCGGCTGGGCGAACGCGATCGGGTCGGGCATGAGTCGCTTCTTGCCGCGCCGTTTCTTGGTGCGGTTGTCAGCTGGCGATGGGCGAGCCGGCCGTGAACAACACCAGTCACAATTCATAAGTCATCTCGAACATCACAGAGACGCAAAACCGTTCAACCTTCAGAAACTGTGTACGCGCTTTCCTTATCTTAACCTCGCATCACGAACATACAGCTTTCGAAGTGGCCTATATCCGGGTGGCCGGTCGAGCCACAGGCTGTTTCATTACTTCTGTCTCCTTGCATGCACCAAAACCTGTTCCCAGTAGGTGTCCAGGCGAGCGGCGGGCGGCCTGAGGCGGTGGACCCGCTGCACCACTTACTGAGCACGTCCGTCTCGTCCATGATCTCGGCCTGGATCATCTCCTCGATGACGTCCTCCAGCGTGACCAGGCCCACCAGCTCGTAGTACGGGTCGCCGACCGTCTCCGTCACCACGCGCTGCACGAACGCCATGTGACCCTTGTTGCCTGCGGGCATCGGGGTCACGGACCGCCGCCGTCAGCCTCAGCCGGCGCCGGCGGCGGCGCCCGTCGGCGCTCAGGTGCGTCACGACACCCGGTCAGGCCACGGGACAGCGCGGCACGACGCCGGATCCGAGCTACTGCACACCGCTCGGAACCCAATGGCCAGGTACCCGTCCGTATGATATCCTGAATACACCACACACAGAGGCGTTTCAGACTTTTCAGCGATCCGTACAGCACACCACTCGGAACCCAACGGTCAGGTAGCCGCCCGTATGATATCATGAATACACCACACACAGAAGCGTTTCAGACTTCTCAGCGATCCTGTGACTCCGCACACTCATCTGCCAGAGTTGAGCGCATCAGTACCGCATGCGTCACATCAGACGCGCGTGACCAACCTTCCTTGAACTCCCTCAGCATGACGTCAAGCGTGACGTCATCAAACACGAACGACCACGGGTTCTGGTAGAAGTGGCACAGCGTCTTGATCGGCGTGCAGTCGTCCGGATCGACGAACGCCATGTCCTTGGCCAGCATCACCGCCACGATGTTGGAGCGGTCTCCCTCGCACACCGGGATACGCGAGTAGCCTGCGACACCGAGCGGTACGCAGCATGAGACGCGCGACAACGCGTGCTCCTGACAGGACAACTGCAGCTATGGCGCGCACGCACGCTTGCGCGCATGCGCGAACACACGCACACACACACACGCACACACACGCACACACGTGCCCTATCCACGGTCGGGGCCAGAGTCAGCACACTCCTCCACGGCCATCTATTCTCCATCACACCCGCAACCACGCACACCTTTACAACGGCCGACAGAGATGTGAGCTAGCAGTCGAAATATATTCTAAAATTGTCTGCCTGTTTTGCGTCAATTTTGAGCAGAGCTAGCGAGAAAACTTTAGATTTACAATTATTTTTCTTATTTTCGGGCTACAACACGGTACAGTAAATTAGCACCAAGAAGTTCCGTTTTAAGGAAGAAAGGAAGTTCGGTACGGAAGCACCTAGTCATGAATGTGTCACATGGTTTCCCGTCCAGCAAAAACGTCTTACGGTCACAGTTTGAGTTTGAGAAAAACACAGTTTGTCCTTACAGTTTGAGAGA